AGTTAATTGAAAAATCACAAAGGTTTTATATCGAACGCCGCATAAAAATGTAATTGGTTTTGTAACGTGCTGTTTTTATGAATGATATTTGTTTATGTTACCTTACTTCTAAATTTTTATCTACATTTTAAAACTAGAAAGGCTTTTTGTCTATTTTCATAAAAAAAAAGAAAAACGAGGTGTCGATGTATTTGTAATAAAGTATTAACCCGAGTCGCCTTCTTAATTTTGTTTGCTACAAGCTTGACTGGACGGATTTTTGGTCTATTTGGCAAGTTTTTACAGACGTTGGGAAGACAAGACGGTGTCAAACAAGAGTGGCTTATCGAAGACATCATAGGCAACTGGTGGAGACCCAACTTTGAACCGCCTCAGTATCCCTACATTCCATCGCATATTACTAAGCCCAAGGAACATAAACGTCTCTTTTTAGTACAACTTCAAGAGAAGGGTATTGTAAAAACTATTTATAACTATACCTTTTTAGAAAGAAGACTGTACCATACTTACTTCAAATAACACAATGAAAAAGTTAAAGGAAAACGAATCCTCTACCAAAAAATGGGAAATGATGAGTAATACTAATTGATTTTAGAAGAACTAATCACTTACATATACATTAAAGTATCTGATTTCCGCGACTTCGTCCGTCGAGACATGGTTGAGCTGTACACCATCAGGTCGCCACCTGTTGCTCACTTTACGGAGAGGCAGGAGCAGAAATATTTCCCACATGCTATTCGCGTCGGTTGTCTCTTCTCAGTGGCAGGATAATACGTATAGGTCGTCATTGTCGCCTGCGTGTTTAAAAAGTTCGATAACTTGATATTAAAATAGTATTATCATGATATAATTTTCGTTGGAGTAAAACTAAAAAAAATTGACCAAAATTTATAGTAGTTTTTGAGTAATGCGCCTTAATCAACAGACCTAGTTGTCATTTATGTAGATGCTTTTAAATATATTAGTATTCCATTTTCTATTAATTTATTGCCTAAACTAGAGATGAATTGTATGATTTTAGCATCAATCTGTAAGTGACGATTTAAAGGCAAATTGTTTCGTTTAGTGTTACTAATTGTGCGCCAGTTAATTATAATATCGAAGGATTCCTTTTTCTTTAACATATTTAAGTGGTGGAATACGAGGAATTTGTTTTATTATTTATTTATGATCTGTATTATTAATTTTTTTGATAAGACAGTTAATTTCAAGCATCCTTGTTATTTTAACCACTTATTTATATTTAGAATTCTAATTTTTTGTTTTTGTATAAATTTGTATATTCGATTTTTCATTTCTTTATATATTTGTGCTTCTGTCGTACAATAAATAAATGAAGTTTTTTCTGTTAGTGACCGAAAAGCAATAACAAGTCTCAGACTTTGTAAACAAATTCATGTCAATCTTTTGGAATAAGCGTTATAGTTAAAAAAAATCGTGTTCAAAATGTTTCATCGTTTTTGTATTCATTAATGTGAAAAATTAAAAAAGAAAAAACAAAAAAGTTAATGTTTATGCATCGTTTTAAGATTATTTCATTAATTAAGATGATCATAAAGAAATATGATTAATGTATTCCTAGTGTACATTTTTTATAAAAGGAAATTAAATATTAGAAGCATTCGCTTAAAAAGGTAATTACATACTACAAATTATGTTTCTTTAATAGATGAAAGTGATAGAATATTATATTTCATGTTAAATGTATTTTCCTTTTTATAAAAATACTGTTGAATTCTTTCCTTTTTTGTTAGTTTTGTTGATTCTTGTATTCAATGTTTGAATTCATCATTTTAGAAAAAAAAATGTTATTCGTTTCTGATTTTAAATATTTTGCAGCTTTATTTGCTGTTCCTAAAAACTACAAGTTAGTAGCAGCACCAGTGTTTGAATTGTATGACAATTCTCAAGGATATGGACCTATAATTTCTTCGCTTCCTCAAGCCTTATGCAGGTAAATTTATTTCTTTAATTATTTTTACTAATAAGAAATATATTTGTGGTGACATGAAAATGTTATGTATTTTGTGTAACTTGTCTACATATATTGGTTTTTGAATTTAATGATCATTTTAGGTTTCAATTCATCTACATGTGAAAAAAATGAATCTTTGGAGGAAAGTCGAAAGAAAAGAAGATATATCAATTGATTTCAAGGTATTTTAAAAGTGAATGATCGCTGACAATTATTGAGACTTTATTTTAGAGTTAGTTTGATGTGTATATAATAAAAAAGATCTAATTACGTATTTTTCCGGATAAACCAAGTAATTGCTAGGCTCTGATTCTGATTAAAAAAAGAAAGTAATGATAATAAAGTAGCGTTAAGATTAAAAGTGAGTAGTTTCTAATATATTTATTGTAATTAGTATTAAGAATCAGTTCAGTTTTTCGACATTTTTTTTATCGTTCAAAACAGCGGAATAAACTACAGGGTGCGTTTTGTTAATTATTGCACTTTGAATTTCGTGACATTTATATGTTACTTTTATAATACAAAAAAAATACACATTACTGTATTTAAAATATGTTTTCATTGTGACATTTAAATAATAAATATTAAATGGATATTAATTTGATTTAATACATACTTAATAATTATATATTTCTGTTACCAATTTAAAATTCTATCAGGCAATATCAATTCCCTAAAAATACTTGGAGGTTGTGGACTTTTCGGTTTTGATGTCTTTGTAACAAAAAGAACCTTTTCTTTTAGTTCTGACCTTGGCAAATCTCCACGCAGACTCAGCAATCTATGCAACTGATCCTCCGTTATATCTGGATACTTTTCTACAATTCGGTGTAAGTCGAATGATATCATATCATCCTCACATTTCAAAATCTCCGACATCATTTTGATTACGTCTAATTGATTCTCTTTTTCTTCTATATTTGGAAGATTGCTGCAAAAAACTCTGTTTAATTGCTCAACCTCCTTGGCAATTTTCTTGGCAGCCGTTAAACATTCTTCGTATGTCTTAAAAGACACTTTCCTTGATAACATTGCTGTTAAGTATCGTTTGGTGACGCCTTTTCGTGCCTGCGTTATTACGTAATCGAAATTTTCTTCTGTCAGACGATTATAGTCTTGAAAGTAGTCTTCTAAAGTGGCACAGATTGTGTCCACTGGGATCGATGCTAGAAGCCAACGGGACGAGAAAAGTTCTTCGAAATGTTTTTCCAAGTCTAAAAAGACTTCTTCCAGCAAGTACTCGCCCGACTCGTTTCTCAGTTGCTATGTACAAAAGAAAGTAGTCTACGTTAAATAAATGAAACGAAAAAACGCCTGCGTAAAGACGTATTGTAATTGTTTGAGATAATGAGTTTTCTTCTCACCTATTAACCATAAGCATTTTGCTTGTTCAGAAATCATTCTCATTGCATTACACTTACCAAAATGGTATCTCTTAATTTTTGAAATGCTTCTGCTACAAGTCTCGGTGTATTCATGTTCAAATATTGTTTCTCAAATTGAGCGCCGAGCTCAATAATTTGCATACAGTTGTTCAAGACTGTTATCATGTGATGAGTAAAGTATGGAACCTAATCGACAGCATAAAAAGGAAGATTTTCTTTAATATTATATATTTATGTACTTATTTTACCATCAATTAAGTTACCTGACTTCTGTCTTCGAAGTGTTTATTCTTAAATTCTATAATAGCTTCTTTATATCCATTTGCAAACCTTACAATTTGTTCTAAACTTAGTAAAAGAGCCTGATTTGTAAATTCTTGACTGCAAAATAAAGTATCAAATTATTGAAGAAAAAGTTTAAAAAACAATAAATTGCCTTATAGTTTTAGAAACTTGTAAATTTTGGTCTATCATTTGGAAAATAATAATCGGGGTGGCGGTGCGAAGATACCCATCAACTCTGGGTTCTTCGGGGGGCTTATTGGAACGCCATTCTTGTTTCTCCGACGTCACAGTATTTTGCATCCATTCATTATAGTTCATTTTCATATTCTTCATTGTAAAAGGTTCAGAAAATAATATTATTAGTAAAACTTCAAAGAGTCCAATATAAAATTAAATTTCTACCGTTAAATATTGTCCTTGAAGATCATCTAAAACGGTTTTTGGTAATAGGGTACCCACATTTTCCGTAGACTCTTTCAAATCAGGATGACCCAAAAGCTCTTCTCCCTTATATGTGTTTAACACCCAAGATAACAGAGAAACATACTCGTTACCTTGCAAACCATTTTGTATGACTTCCTGCAACTAAATTAAACAAGTTATTAAATTTATATAATCTAAGTTTTTAATTTAGCGAGTACATGTCGAGAAAGGCAGGCGTGATACATTTTAATATATCGGTCCAGAATTTCATAACTAGGAGGAAAACACGGAATGCAAAGGGTTTTAACAACCCTTAAGTCTTCAAGCATCAATTGTCTTAACAATTCCAAATAACGAACCAACCACAATTTGTTATCATCTCGTTCTTCTACTTGAGTGCCTTCTATCCTGGTTGCTACAGACTTTTCTAAAACTTCAAAGGCCATGGCACGCCATTTTTTAGGGCGGCCAGGTGGTAAAAATCCATTTTGTTTTTCTTGTTTTAGAGATTCTTCATCAACATTCTCTTCTCTTTCAATTATACGTAATGCTGTAACTATGACTGTAGGTTCTTTACGAACTGTATTTAATGTACGACTTAAGATAAGTCTCAATTGCTTTTCCAATACACCTGACAATGTTTCTACATCAGAAAAGTATGCTTTCAACATGACCTTATCGTGTGGTGATTGATTTGGTAGTTTATGTAACTCAAATAGCAATTCATCTCTTGAATTTTCTAAGTCACGTAAACACTAAAAATGGGAATGATTATTACAATTTAAATTTCTGAAAGTTTATTTGGACTTTTATTTTTTTTAATATTTCTTCTTGAATATGAATGCAAGTGCAATCAAATAATTAGGAAAGTAATACCTGATGAGCATGCAACAATTTTCCTTCATTTATCCATTGCTTGGTTTTTTCAATACTTTCTGGAACAGTGAAAATGTGTTTCAAGTTTTCTCTGGCAGTAACATACTGAGAATGCTTCATATTTTCTTCCCTCACTTCATTGAGTTTATTGCGTAAATCTGGAACATCTTTGAAGAGACTTGCAAGTGACTTCAAACTGAAATACTTAACATTATCAAAAAGAAAACAATTGTACTATTTGTAACAAGACTTAGTTTCGATATCTCGAACGTCTTCTAAACAAGCTTGAAGTTGATTTTGACCAACTCTTACTCCATCCAGATGACTTTGCATTGCTGACTTCAGTAGAGCCTCATTCGATCCTTTTTTACGAATTAATCCTCTCTTGTATTGTTCAATCTTCTCTAACTGTCCAGGACGTTGTAACATATTTGTTACATGATTTACAGCAGATATTTTAGCTTCTGCTTCAAGTTGTCGTATGTTACATTTCGACTTAACTAAAACATGGAAGATCTGAAACTATTTTATTCAGAAAATAAATATAATGCAACTTTACCTTCTGCCATTTTTTCTTCCTAAATTTACTTTTACTAGAAAATACACAAACAATTGCGACAATCAGTAATAGAAAAGAAATTAGAATCGTATTATTCTCAGAAAAAGTAATAAATAAATCCTTCACTCACTATAATCATTAACTGTTAAATTAATTATATTATTCTAAACATAATCTAAACTTACTATAACCTTTAAAGAAAACAGAGTAAATTTGACAACTGTAAATTGTAACCTCGTATTCATTCATGTTTTAGTTTAGTTCATTTAGTATTTTATTTGTTTTTATTATGCCTCCTTTTCAAAAAGAGAATTATACCATTATTCAGCAGGTATATTTACTATTCAGCATATTATTTTAAATATCTCATGCATTCTTTGTTTAATAAAATAGATTCAGAAAGCTGAAGATGCCATTCGGGCATGTTACAGTAGAGTAGAAAATCTAGAGAAGCAATTAAAGAAAAACCAGTTGCATCCCACACAACAAGAGTCAATAAGGATGGAATTAGTAGAGGTAAAAAAATTATTAGCCACAAATGAAAAAAATCTTAAGCTGCTTCATAAGCAAAACATAAAATCCTTTGCATTTGCAGCAGCCTTCTTTTTCATATGTTTTGTTGTATATATGTTGTATGTATTAGTCTTTGGGCCCCAGGATAGTTAACAATAGTAATCAGTATATTAAANACGTTTCTGAACTTAATTGTCTTTGAAAGTCTAAAATTGCATACTTTATTTTTTGTAAGGTCAGCAATTTTAGATATTGAAAGATTTTATTAAATATTATGATAAAATGTTGAAAATAATCAAACAGTAATTTTGCAGTGTTATAAATACATTCTAGAAAAATTATAGTAATTCTAGTGCCGTTTTATCCTTTTGGTTTTTTGATAAGATGCATAATTATCAATTTATTAATTAAAAATGTTAATGGCTAATTAGTTCATATTTTTCCTAGCAAACCGAACCATGCAAATTGTTGCTATAAATATAGAAGGCGCTTCTTGATTAAGCTGTTAATTATGTATAAAATCGAAAAACAAAATGTAAGCATGTCGAATGGTATAATTTTCCTGGAATACATTCAGGACACATTGTGTATTTGTATATTCTTTTTTTTCATTAAAATGAAGTAGAAGGAAACCTAGAATAGGATTAGTCTGATGACCAAAAAAGCATAATTTAACCAATTATGTATATTTAAATTAATTTACTGTTGGTAAATTGTTTAAATATGTTATTATATTATGTGTTATCGACACCCTTACGATAATGTACAAGAAAGAAAAAATTGAAAGTAGGTATGTCGCATTGTTAGACAGTGATTTGTAATGTATTTTACGCCAAATTTTGCGTTTATAGGAAAATTATGAGTACAATTCGAGAGCATTATTAAGTCTTCGCGTTTTTAATTTTCTTGTTAAATCAGATCTTTAAAACTATTTTCATAAAATTTATATCACCTAATTTGCGTCTGAATTCCCTGCAGTATATTTTTTGCGTGTGCGAATAAATTTTGAGCTTATATTAACATAATTCAAGACAATATTTATTTTGTTAAACATTGTAACAAAAGAATATTATTTTATATAAGTTAATTGAAAAATCACAAAGGTTTTATATCGAACGCCGCATAAAAATGTAATTGGTTTTGTAACGTGCTGTTTTTATGAATGATATTTGTTTATGTTACCTTACTTCTAAATTTTTATCTACATTTTAAAACTAGAAAGGCTTTTTGTCTATTTTCATAAAAAAAAAGAAAAACGAGGTGTCGATGTATTTGTAATAAAGTATTAACCCGAGTCGCCTTCTTAATTTTGTTTGCTACAAGCTTGACTGGACGGATTTTTGGTCTATTTGGCAAGTTTTTACAGACGTTGGGAAGACAAGACGGTGTCAAACAAGAGTGGCTTATCGAAGACATCATAGGCAACTGGTGGAGACCCAACTTTGAACCGCCTCAGTATCCCTACATTCCATCGCATATTACTAAGCCCAAGGAACATAAACGTCTCTTTTTAGTACAACTTCAAGAGAAGGGTATTGTAAAAACTATTTATAACTATACCTTTTTAGAAAGAAGACTGTACCATACTTACTTCAAATAACACAATGAAAAAGTTAAAGGAAAACGAATCCTCTACCAAAAAATGGGAAATGATGAGTAATACTAATTGATTTTAGAAGAACTAATCACTTACATATACATTAAAGTATCTGATTTCCGCGACTTCGTCCGTCGAGACATGATTGAGCTGTACACCATCAGGTCGCCACCTGTTGCTCACTTTACGGAGAGGCAGGAGCAGAAATATTTCCCACATGCTATTCGCGTCGGTTGTCTCTTCTCAGTGGCAGGATAATACGTATAGGTCGTCATTGTCGCCTGCGTGTTTAAAAAGTTCGATAACTTGATATTAAAATAGTATTATCATGATATAATTTTCGTTGGAGTAAAACTAAAAAAAATTGACCAAAATTTATAGTAGTTTTTGAGTAATGCGCCTTAATCAACAGACCTAGTTGTCATTTATGTAGATGCTTTTAAATATATTAGTATTCCATTTTCTATTAATTTATTGCCTAAACTAGAGATGAATTGTATGATTTTAGCATCAATCTGTAAGTGACGATTTAAAGGCAAATTGTTTCGTTTAGTGTTACTAATTGTGCGCCAGTTAATTATAATATCGAAGGATTCCTTTTTCTTTAACATATTTAAGTGGTGGAATACGAGGAATTTGTTTTATTATTTATTTATGATCTGTATTATTAATTTTTTTGATAAGACAGTTAATTTCAAGCATCCTTGTTATTTTAACCACTTATTTATATTTAGAATTCTAATTTTTTGTTTTTGTATAAATTTGTATATTCGATTTTTCATTTCTTTATATATTTGTGCTTCTGTCGTACAATAAATAAATGAAGTTTTTTCTGTTAGTGACCGAAAAGCAATAACAAGTCTCAGACTTTGTAAACAAATTCATGTCAATCTTTTGGAATAAGCGTTATAGTTAAAAAAAATCGTGTTCAAAATGTTTCATCGTTTTTGTATTCATTAATGTGAAAAATTAAAAAAGAAAAAACAAAAAAGTTAATGTTTATGCATCGTTTTAAGATTATTTCATTAATTAAGATGATCATAAAGAAATATGATTAATGTATTCCTAGTGTACATTTTTTATAAAAGGAAATTAAATATTAGAAGCATTCGCTTAAAAAGGTAATTACATACTACAAATTATGTTTCTTTAATAGATGAAAGTGATAGAATATTATATTTCATGTTAAATGTATTTTCCTTTTTATAAAAATACTGTTGAATTCTTTCCTTTTTTGTTAGTTTTGTTGATTCTTGTATTCAATGTTTGAATTCATCATTTTAGAAAAAAAAATGTTATTCGTTTCTGATTTTAAATATTTTGCAGCTTTATTTGCTGTTCCTAAAAACTACAAGTTAGTAGCAGCACCAGTGTTTGAATTGTATGACAATTCTCAAGGATATGGACCTATAATTTCTTCGCTTCCTCAAGCCTTATGCAGGTAAATTTATTTCTTTAATTATTTTTACTAATAAGAAATATATTTGTGGTGACATGAAAATGTTATGTATTTTGTGTAACTTGTCTACATATATTGGTTTTTGAATTTAATGATCATTTTAGGTTTCAATTCATCTACATGTGAAAAAAATGAATCTTTGGAGGAAAGTCGAAAGAAAAGAAGATATATCAATTGATTTCAAGGTATTTTAAAAGTGAATGATCGCTGACAATTATTGAGACTTTATTTTAGAGTTAGTTTGATGTGTATATAATAAAAAAGATCTAATTACGTATTTTTCCGGATAAACCAAGTAATTGCTAGGCTCTGATTCTGATTAAAAAAAGAAAGTAATGATAATAAAGTAGCGTTAAGATTAAAAGTGAGTAGTTTCTAATATATTTATTGTAATTAGTATTAAGAATCAGTTCAGTTTTTCGACATTTTTTTTATCGTTCAAAACAGCGGAATAAACTACAGGGTGCGTTTTGTTAATTATTGCACTTTGAATTTCGTGACATTTATATGTTACTTTTATAATACAAAAAAAATACACATTACTGTATTTAAAATATGTTTTCATTGTGACATTTAAATAATAAATATTAA